AACAATTGAAAAACTGAAATAACTGGACAGTTAAATAACCTTGGTATGAGACTTCTCAGCATTGTACACTCGAGACCATTCCACAAGGAATCGAACTTAAGACCATGATTCTTTTACGCGAATTCTTGGCTTCCAGACCATTTAGCTGAGATTCGTCTGTGTAAAGGTTAAACTGCGTTCGGTTTATTTCATCTTTCAACCATCTATCGCGTGTATCCTTCCTACACACTACAAGGTATAATTTTACTGCTGTTTCTTTTGTACGAGCTTTTATAGGTTAAGCATTCTCATGTGACATTGAAAGTCTTAAGTTTGATTCCTTAGCTTCGAGGTCATGCACGCTCACACCTGAGTCGTTAAATACTAGAAAGCAATGACTGTTCAGTAAACTCAGTTTTTCACTGATTGTCTGATTTAGATCGATTGTTGATAACATTAAATTTCACATATTTTTATCCCAACGGCTTACTACCTACTTCAGCATAATTTATGGAGTGAAGTTAGTAATCTTAATATTGTACGTTTTGTATGAGTAGTCGTTTATCTACTCACAAAAGAATGATGATACTCAAATTAGTATGATTGAATAGCTGGGTAAAAAATGCAGTATGACTGGAAGTCAAAATTGTTGGCTACCTTCCTTCTTTTTAGTTTCTGAGTAACCTGAATCATCTGATAATGGAATTCAAGATGAAAACAGAACATTCATTTAACACCAAATTATAGTCAATAAAGTATGTGAACTACATTGTTCAAAACGTCTTATCTCACAGTGTTTATTCATAGTTGAAGCAAGACTTGCTATCAATTTACTATCAAAGTATGTGTTTTCACTTCAGTTGCTTTTCAGAAAAGCGGTAATTTCATTGATCTCTTTTCTGTGTAAGAAGTGATGGTCAGTCACATAAACCTAATATTGAAAAGTGACATTCTTTATTCTAATTCATATACGCATTACACTTGCTACACAGTAGAGTATACCATATTATCTGATTGATTAGATAGAATCATGTGATAGAGAACAAAGAAGGGTAATCATTGAATTTATACAAAGTACTAAAGTCATCAGAAAGATATTTGCAAATGACACTCTTAGACAATTTAGACTATTATTACTATTACTAATTGTCAATAAAACGAATAAAGATGTTTCTGTGAATAAATGAGGGACTACTTTCTACATGACGCCCCAGTTTCAGATTACTTTCAGTGTACATGCGTTGCAGTGCATTTTCCAGAAGTGTTTGTCAGATTATATTCACCTCATCATCAATTGTGTCATCAGTGCATATCCTTCGTCTTCTGAAGATATAGAATAGATTAAATGTCTCTTCCTACTCAGAGTACCCAACTTTTCAAATTTGTCTTTAGCCCGTTTCACTTCATTTCGATTGACCATCGTTTGACTATCTTTGATAGCTTTGTAAGACCGCTATACTTTATCAACGACTACTACATTTAAAAAGATTAGCTATAAGTGGCTTTGTACAACTTCAGAAATTGATGAAGTTGAAAAGGAATTTTCCTCACTGAAACGTACTTACCCTACTCTTCTTTGTCTTCCTGTTATGCCTTGTCACTGATCTCAGTGAACACATTGGTTGAGTTGGTCAAATTTAAATCTAATGATAGTAACATATATTTGAGATATCCTGATGAGTAGGAATTTGAAATTCTGATGTCTTCTTACCCAATGTTAGTCACTGCTTTTCAATATATCAATCAATCAATGACCAGAATTAGATTCTACAAGTTGTAATGGTACAGAGAGATGAGGCAGAATATTCAAATCAATTCAAACCCAGGACCTACCAGTCTCGAACCGAAGCCCTTAACCGATAGACTACTGAGCTGGCATCCAACGGTGTTAATGTCTAACTCCAACTGATCCACGAAGTTGGGCAACCATTCACCAATTGTCTTCAGTGAGTTCCTATCTCACAACAGATGTGGTTTTGAACTCCACTGGTCACTGCTTCTCACTAGAGCTCCTAGATATACTTCTCGAAGTCACTAGTGAGCATATGATTATATTAATTATCAGAAGGGGTTTTGTGGAGACTTAGTAATTATCATAGTTGAAAGCGTGAGTCAATTGAAGCTATGATAAATACTAAATCTCCACAAAACCCCTTCTGATAATTAATAAAATCAATTCAAGTCAAAATTATTCTGATGTTATCAATTTCATGTCATTTAGATCAACGTCATTCTGTGAGAGTCATCACGACGTTTGTTTACGGGTGTACTAGTGGGTTTTCGACGTATATCATTTGTAGTGTAAAGTTGTAATTTCAGTGTATTCGAGTTGATGTGTGTGTGAAGTCATGCTTTTGTCATTTTCAGTTGTAAAAGATTTAATTTGTCAAATTCAAACCGTTTTCTACGAACGTACTTTCATATAAACTGAACTGACCAGAAATCTCTGTATAATATTTAGAAAAAGTAAGGAACATTTTAGTGGAAACTCTATTCGATAACATTGTCATCACATTCCACAGTTCCACGTTTACAATCATTGTGTAACAAAGTTCAAAATAGAGGATTCTGATGAATTAGATAGTATTGTGTTAATATGTCATGACGTTGTGTATCTTTTGTATGAAATATTTTTGAGAAATTTGTCATTTGTAATCTGGAAAGGTTATTCATAGAAGGTTGAAGTGAATCGGTGTGGAGTGTCCAGCTGTAATCAATGTACTAATCAAACGTATTATACTCCAAAATGAATGAAAGCTAAATGTAATTTGTTCAGTGGAGTTGATAGTTATCACAACAATATTATTATTAACAATTAATGTAATTGTTATATGATTACTGTTGATGACAGTTATGATACGAATAATAATGGAGAAAATGTCGTGTGATCATTATGTACAATATTAAGTGTATTACCAATGTAATTGTGTTGATAAGTTAATGTGGATTGAGTAAGTAGATTGTACAAATTGTGAATGGGACAGAGCAAATATGAGCACTTGCAGATGTGAAGACGAGGATCGGCAAAGCAAGATCAGCATATTTACAACTGAAGAACATCTGGAACTCAAAACCACGGTCTGTCAACCAACACCAAGATCAGAATTTTCAATACAAATGTCAAGACAGTTCTACTGTATGGGGCGGAGACGTGGAGAATCACGAAAGCCATCATCCAGAAGATACAGGTGTTTATTAACAGTTGTCTACACAAAATACTTTGGATCCCTTGACCAGACACTATCAGCAACATGTTACTGTGGGAGACAACAAACCAGGTTCCAGCAGAGGAAGAATTCAGAAAGAAGCGTCGGAAGTGGATAGAACATAACTTATGGAAATCACCCAAATGCGTCAGAAGACAAGCCCTCACATGGAATCCTGAAGGCCAAAGGAGAAGAGGAAGAATAAAGGATACATTAAGCCGAGAAATGGAGACAGACATGAGAAAAATGAAAAAAACTGTATAGAACTAGAAAAGAAGGCCCAGGACATGGTGGATTGGAGAATGTTCCATTACGAGTAACAGACGTAACTAAGTAATTAAGATATTAGTACTACGTAAATTATGAGATAAGTGACATGCGTTGTACTGTTAAGATACTATCCCGATGATATTTCAATACAAATAATTCAGGGAGATGATGACATCTTCATAGCTTTAAATTGAGAATTGATCTTAGTCAGATCATCTATTGAAACGTCCATTTTGTGTGTCAAATAAATTGATTGGAATATCTTTGCAGCGTTGAGGAAAACAGCGCTAAACAAAACCGATAGTAATTCGTAAACTCACTGTCCAAACGTCATTGTATACTAAAAAAATAACCGTCAGTTTACACACTTCTTTAAGTAAAATTATAATATCATATCATATTGAACATGTGAGAGCAACGTATTCACTTTTTGCTCATTAGTTCTGTTGAAATTTTTCAAAAGCTTTCATAGTACAACTAAATGAACCAAATACAGTGTATCATGATTATTTACAAAATTATCATTCATAACTACTCAACTTGTGAAGCTGTATATAAAGTTACTTTAAGATTGTCATTGATTTAGTTAAGACCAAAGAGTTGTTTTTTGTAGAATGTTCAGGTCAACTGATTTCATATCATTTCATTGCTCATAAGCGAAATATATTAACATCGATGGAATTTAAAGCTTTTTAAACAAAAAAAAAACAATCCCATGAATATTTGATTCTTCAAGCATTCTGTTGTGTCAATAATGAAACTTACTGACTTACTTACTTTCGGCTGTTACTCCCAATGGAGCATAGGCCGCCGACAAGCTTTCTCCAACCCACTCTGTACTGGGCCTTCTTTTCTAGTTCTTTCCAGTTCTTGTTCATTCTTTTCATGTCTGTCTCTATTTCTCGGCGTAATGTGTTCTTTGGTCTTCCTCTTCTTCTTTGACCTTCAGGATTCCATGTGAGGGCTTGTCTTGTGACACAATTGGGTGATTTCCTCAAAGTGTGCCCAATCCACTTCCAGCGTTTCTTCCTGATTTCTTCCTCCGCTGGAATCTGGTTTATTGTCTGCCACAGTAACTTGTTGCTGATAGTGTCTGGCCATCGGATCCCAATAATGAAACATTCAAATTCAAATCAACACAAACTTAGGTTACTGTACAATATCCCTACCACTGATAGTTAATTACCAGATTATTAGAAATAACACATTTTCAACTACAAAATAATCATAACTAAAATTATTTAGATCAATATTTGTCAGGAATTTCAACCAACGGTGATTGATTGTCAACCTACGTTCTTAATAGCTAGAAGAACATAAGATATCAATGTGTTCATCTATCACAATCTTTGGTTAACAATAAACAAATGATTTTGTTAAATAAAATCTTTTTACTGGTCTTTTTGAATCGTCAAATCGTAAAGAAACAACCATACCCTTGAAAATTTTTATATAAACCTATCAAGTTCTAGTAGAATAGTTTTACTATTTAGAACGAAAAAAAAATATGAGGTGAGTGATGAATGGACACACAAAGTAAATGAATGAATTTTCATTTGATTCAATGAGATAACTTTGTTTCCTTCATATCAACCATTTTAGATACATTGCTCTATCTGTTCTGTGGATATCGGTTTATTTGATCTTCACTTTACTTTCCGAATTCTCCTACTGTCAAGATATCTGTCAACAACCTGTATGGGAGAAATATGAAAAAGTAATTTCGGAAAACAGTTCGTATAAATATGTAAGTAATATCTCTTAGATTATTATACACAAATATAGTCTCACTATTATAAATACTCACAGAGAATTCGTCTTAATCAGCCCTACCCAGTCATTAGTGATAGTTTTAAAACAGTTAATGACAATCAAGTGAGTTGACTACATTTTATATTAGAGGTATAAATCTTTATGTTTGTATCTTTTAAGGATGTTATACCGAAATTCATGTTTCAATATTACGGTAGAAACGTCAGTAAACTTAAGATTGGCACTTTAGGTAGGTGAATTATCTTCTTTTAAATAAATTTGCTATTGAGTGTGTCAATCACAATTTATTCCATGGATCTAAGTTGTTATTACTTCTTCAATGAATTAGTTTTATGCTTTTTTATAACATTCGAAACTTCTATAGATGCCTTTTCTTGTTCAAGATGTCACGTGGTTGACTTTCTTACAGCTAACTAATCACAGTACACGCAAATCATTTTTATCACAATTGATTAATCATTGGGCGGTGATCAATCCCATGCTTGTCAAGTCCATCTTAGTGCTGATCGAATGCTAACGATGAAGTTGCAATGTGGCCACTAGTCTTGACACTGCATACACTATGTTGAGATAATATGGTTGTGATTACATCTCAGTCCTAAAGGAGGTCGGTCGCGGTCCGGATAGCACAGTGGTAACGTCTCTGACTGTGAGGCTGAGTGACACGGAATCGAATCCATCAAAGAGCACCAGTTGCCTCAAGATTACAGGTAAACCGTCCTGGCCGGTCCAGGGTTTCCTGTTGACCGCCTCCAACCACCATTTTAAGTCATTTTTGTCTCCTCTTTCCGCATAGTTTGAATCAAGTTATATGTTTTTAATAAATCAATACAGGTTCTATAGAAATATTTGGAGAGAAAAAACTGGGTAATATAAACCATAACATACCGGCGTTTTTTGATATGACATATGAGATTCTGGATAATAGTGAGTTCTTCTGTTATTCAGTAATAATATTTTACTTTCCGCATAAATGGTTCAGTATTTAACTTGATTATTACATGAGAGCAAACCAGTACACACTGATTATTTCGTATGTGTAATTTGGTACCACAACATGTGTTCACAACACGTATTGTGGAATTTCAAACGCTTCAATTCTACCCGAAGTTTTTGCTAATGATGTCGTTTAGAAGGACGATGAAAGCTCTACGACCAAACCATCCTTCTCAGAGAACAAACCTACATCAAAAACAAGTATTGATTACTTTCACTTCAGCGTAAAATCGAAGTGATTCAGTAGAAACGATAAACCAAATAATGTAGTTGCCTAAGTAAAAACTAGCTATTCGCAAGTCTATCTTAACTGCAATGCAGAAGATATCTCACTGGCATGATAACTATGAGTGGATTAAATCAACGATACTGATCACATGTGCAACAATGGACGAAGTTGTAAGAGAATCCAGATTGATTTGTTAAGCTTATGAACTGTCAAATTTTACCGGACGTCCTTTAAATCTTTTCTGGCACTTGATTCATAAAAATTTGATGTCTCTTAGTTGCTGTCAGTGAATCATTATATCTAAAAACCTTTCAGATTACCATGTTTCTAAGACAGTAATATTTAAGCTCACGCCTTTCCAGTAACAATCAATCAACAAACACCGATGAACGGACTGCTAGTAAAACATGATTTTTCCGAACCAGACCACCTAGTCTATCAAGTTCAAGTTCATTCATTTCTGCGTAACGATTTGCTCAATTGAGAGAACTCCGTTTCACCTGAATGACACAATCTCATAAATTGATTTTGTATGGGTTTTGTCAAACAGATATTAAACGTCTCTTAGTCAGTCGGAAGCTCCTAGAACCGACGGCACGGAAGTCAAATAATATTATCAGTTGACTGAATTAAAACATTTATTATATCCACATAGTTTTGCTTGTTTGAATCTCCCCATTGATGTTTCTAGGACTGCAAATGGTCAGTCTCTTATTGGCATATGTGCATACTGTGCGTATTGCCTCGATATAGCCTAAATTTACAAGCATGGTAAGAAAAGATGGATAGTAGCAAGTAGTGGAATCCAGGACGCTCGATTCGTCTTATTTGGATTCCACTGCTAGCCACTATCCATCTTTTCTTACCATTCATTATATCGTTGAAACAATAATAAAAATCTTTGAAAATTCCTCAACTGTACAGTTTCACTTAAATCTCAGAAGGAAGGTGATAACTTGTATGCAAATTCATTCGTTTAGAATGTATATATATTAAAAGAGATAAGTATTCATTATGCAGATATACAAATATCTTTTTGATTTTCATTTTTTTCAGATCAATTGATCGCTATCAAATGGAATTTGCGGATATTTGTAAATGGTACATACTAAGGAACATTGGATGATCATTTGTGAAAACTTAACAGCTAAAACTTATTATCAGAAGAGGTTTTGTGGAGATTTAGTATTTTCATAGTTGAAAGCGTGAGTCAATCTAAGCTAGCACGGGATGGCGGTTTCGTTCTATTGTGCTCTGGCGCGAGACTGGTAGGTCCTGAGTTCGAATCTCGCGAGGCGAGGTCGTGGATGCACATTCCTGACGAGTCCCACAATAGCACGAAACGGTTGTCAATGGACTCACGCTTTCAGATATGAAAACTAAAACTTAATTGGTTGTGATTACTCACATTTTACATGTTCAGTTCGTTTAAATCATTTTTTCCCAATGACTAGCAAAAGGGAGAATCTGTAGCATTCTTGAAAAAGTAAAGGTAGAATTATACGTGGAATCCACTGATCATTTTAACACTTTAATTAGGACTTGTAGAACTGTTGACAAAGACTGAAACGGACTAGATTTGGTGAGCAATAAATTGGTGAATGAAGTTACAATGTTACTTTATCTAAGGAAAAACTATGACTCAGATCCATCTTCGCTGACAAGCTTCAATGTAGAGACCGTCTTTTATAATAAATTAATTGTGTTGTATATTCGTCAAAACAATCATCACATAGTCATTCCTAAGTATTACCGGATCAAATCAAAACACCTTTAGGATGATATATCTAATGCGATTCACTTCATATCTATATCAAAAAAATCTGTATTCTTTATAAACGTGGGCGGCCTATGCTCCTTCACGAAGGTAAACATGCGTAAGTAAGTAAGTCTTTAGGAACACTACGGTCAGAGTCAGTCAATCGATTGATTTCTCATTGTGTTTCATGAGCAGTTAAATTCTTAAGTACCGTTTGCAAACAAACACTACACAACACATGTCATTTGCTCTTAGGGTCGATTATTTTGGTAGTTTTTTATGAAAAATACTGCACGAAATTGAATACCTCTCGGGGTTCGAAGTCGAAGCATCTGAAATTCATTTTGTAGGAATCATGTTTGTTTCATTTACATAATGTTTACTTGATTACCAAAGATTACCGATTTAACAAAGGAAATCATTTTAGATAACACAGTAAATTCTCATAGTTGCGAGTGTGAATCAATTGAAGCTAGGCCATCAAGGAAAAGCTGGAAGCACTGGACGACCGTTTCGTCCAGCAGTGCTTCCTGGTTTTCCTTGGTGGTCTAGCTTCAATTGACTCACGCTTGCAACTATGAAAATACTAAATCTCTACAAAACACCTTCTGATTACCTAGTAAATGTTTGTTTAAATCTGATTTTTTTTGTGAGTAGACATATAGGGTGTTACATGTAACAATAACGTCTTGTGTTTTCAGAACTTAAATCCAAGGTGACTAGTGTGATACATCCAAGTGGGAAGATATCTTTTTATTATGAAAGTGTAAGTTGGACAATTGAATGAATATATTATTTTGTACTACAGTACTACAGATTATTCTACTATTTCATGCATATCAATACTGTTGAATGTATTATGATAGATTTAACACGATAGAAAGACATCAACATAGACTGTATAACACCATTATTAATCTTTTACTGACGTACACTTTATTCTACCACGTATTAAAAACAATAAGTAAGTATTAATCAACAGTTGTTTATGCAAAATACTCAACATTCACTGGCCGGATACTATCAGCAACACCATTTTGTGGGACAGGACAAACCAGCTTCCAACTAAAGAGGAAATTAGGAAAAGACGTTGGAAGTAGATAGGACCTACATTAGGGAAATCACCAAACTGCATAACGAGGCAAGCCCCAACTTAGAATCCGGAAGGGAAGCGAAAAGGAGGAAGATCAAAGAACACATTGAGCCGGGTAATAGAAGCAGATATGAAAAGGATGAATAACAACTGGAAAGAACGAGAAAGGATTGCCTAGTACAGAGTTGGATGGAGAATACTGGTGTGCGGCCTATGCTCCTCCACGAAGGGTAACAGGTGTAAATAAGTAGGCGCACTCTGTTCTACTACATATTAAAAACAATAAGTAATTGGAAGTGAAGTGTCATCAAAAGAAACGATCATGTCTTCGCGTTAAATGGGGACAAACAGTATATTTCAGAATAACGTACGGAAACAGTCATATTCTCTCAAACTTTATTTCGTCTTCTAAAGTTAAACTGTTTGGAAAGTACGTCGTTGAATATTCTGAGTGATTCAGTGTTTAAATTGTTGATCATTTCATAATGTATATTTTTGAATGTCACTGTTTAATATTTTCAATACTACTTTTCAGATTACCACAGAAATGGAGGATAATAAACGGTACTCTCTGATTCGCGGTGTATTCCAGTGTGTAAGAAGGGATAAAGGTAACAATTATTACTAGCATTTCAATGTCCATTAACCTCTGTCAAAAGCTTTCTGTTGACATTATATTGACATTATATAATGTACTCGGTTATCAGCGTGTCAGTATAGTAACCTACTGTGTTCTCTCTCGAAGCGATCTTACGTAATTGTATTACAGTCTACATTAATCAACTGGTTCCAGTGTAAGATATATTAGTCACATTGTTATTGAGGTATTGAAGATGGTCACGCAAAATAAAACCGGAATACTTTTCGTGAACACACTGTTCAAATATTACTCTATAGTGGAACATAATCATGAAAATGTCCAATGTGTTCGAACAATTAATCACTGTAATTAAATGTATTGAAATCAAGGTATCTATATCTATAGTTCAACGACAATTATCTCTAATACTGAAGCAAAACAGAAACCATATTGGTGCTGTTTCAGTTTTTTGTCGTAAATTACATCGACAATGAATTTCAAGATCCACATTTTCTGACGCTGACTCAATCTAATATCTTGAGTAATTTAACTAAGATATTGTGAATGTCATTATCGTAGAATTGTGTATGTTTATTGAAGAATTTTTTGGACACATATATTTAACAATAAACTGATTCAGATAGGGATATATGAACGACAGTATTAAGCAGACTATATGTCAACTCTTTCATTCATTTGCTAATTAACTCACACAATCACAGAATGACCAAACACATTTTCAGTCCTCAGACATAACACTACTTAATGAAAAAGGATGTGTTTTTATTAAACAGAGAGAAGGGAGTTGTATTTGTAACCGGTGGTTGTTTTACACAATGCCTAATCCTTATGCCATACTGACATGATTATGTGTTGTTGAAAGGTCAAATTGAGTTACAAGATAAGTATTTTATGCAAGCGATCAAACGAGATTCAGTATTTTGTGACTAAATGTGAGAAGTATATGTTGATGGGTTGATGTGTATTACTGAGACCTTGAACAGCGAATCTCAATCATGGTAAGCAAAGATGGATAGTGGCCAGCAGTGGAATCCAGAACGCGCGTTTCATCCTATTTGTGACTCATCAACTGGATGTACCTGCATCTCAGAGTTGATGTTCATTCTGGGACTCGTACCCAGTACCATCGCTTGAAACGCCATCAAACAAACAATACTGAATGAAGCGAATCTCAATGTTTACCATTTGTAACTTGAAGTTTGAAGCAATTTGTAACTAGGTGAACATATATTTTGAAGATGTTGCACGGATACTGTCGTAAAATGACTGGTTGAGCACTGATCACTTTTGAAACCAGTAGTGATGTGGAGTATATATTGTGAAGATGTTGAATGAGCGTCATAATGTCAGAAAATTTCAGGTTTCTTGCTATGATGCAAAGAAATTCCTATCAAAATTTAAAGTACTTTTTTTCTATTCTATGTATTACAGATGTTGTGATAGAACCTCAAATAATTGTTCCTGAAAAATGGATCAAAAGTGACACGTTAGTGGAGTTTGTACCTATCGAGAGTATGTTGAACCTTATTTCATCACTATTGACTATTTTCACATTTGAATACATCACTTTTGTTTAATCAATCTCTAATTTACATGTGTAATTTTATGATATGCACCCATGGGTCTCAGTTACGTTTCACTTATCATTGGTAATTGCACGTCGATTTACTGTTGAATATTCAAAATGATAAAAGATCCATTTTGAATTGCTATAAAAGTCTTCACTTTGATGAAATGTTCTTCGAATCAAAGCAGCAAACGATGGATGAGATGATATAAGTCTCCAGAATATATTATTGTCAGTTGCTAGATGGTGTACTGACGAGGAGGTTTCTGTTGTTCTTTTTTTGCACAGTATATACAATATTGAATTTCTCCAGGGTAATTTGTGAATACCTTGATAATAATAATAGTTTAACTATCAAATCTCTGCTTTGTCATGCTTGTTCGATAATTCGAAGGTGAAGATAAGTTATGTGTTGAAATTGCAATTTTTAATAGTCAATATATATGAACAGTATCAACATTACTGACGGTTTTCACAGTATTAGTTCGTTTTCTTACTCATGAATAAGTACAATTAGTGCCTACAAACACTTTTCAGCTTATCATGTTTTAGACTGTTGAAATCAAATTTCATCTACTTAGAGAATAATTCCATGATCCAACGTTTAGTTAGCTTACAGCATTCTTCAAATAAAGTATCATTTACTGCTGATTGATTTTCACTAATCTAACTAATCTGATGTGCTAACTGACACTAATCAAACTAGAATGTTATCAGTAAAGGGTTTTGTGGAGATATTCGTAATTTTATATAGTTCACATTATGAGTCAATTGAAGCTGGACCACCATGGAAAACGTGGAAGCATTGAACGGCCGTTTCGTCCTATAGTGGGACTCCTCAGAAGTGCGCATTCACGATCTTGTCTCGCGAGTTTCCAACCCAGGATTCATCAGTTTCGCAAGCGAGCACTTTACCGATAGACCACTGAGCCGTATTTTCTTATTCACTTGTATTTTTTATTCAATAACTTAAAATGAAGTCAACATACTTTTCATTACAGTAACTTGTTCGGAATACAATTCGATTGATGAATGTCTAAATTCGAAAACATTTAATATGGAATGTATTTGGTGTGAAAAAACCAACATGTGCATTAATAGTCATGAATTGATAGTAAAGGACTGCCATATTGAAGTAAGTAATTGTTAAACTTCATAGATTGTGTACACCATTGCTATATTCCACATTGTAAATCAATTTACTCTGAAGAACATTATTTTATTAAGAGAACATACTGATTCGTATTCGTCCCTCTGTGACTTAACCAAAGCTGTATATCTTATCAGTTATTAGTACAACGCCTTTCATGGGAACAACAAACAATGAATAGAAACGTTGTTTAACACAAATGCTCGGAGTCTCCTTCATTTCTCAGCTCATTGAACATGTAGTGATTTCAGAAATTCTAAAATACTGATTTTGATTTTCCCTGTTGAGAAATATGTATCCTCGTTGAAATGCTTCAATAAAAGATGTCAGCCATAAGTTTGTTTATGTATATTTGGATAGTGATTAAATATGACAACCAGAATACAAATTTCATCATAAGTAAACGTTGTCATTTAGTTGTAGGATAGTGAGAAATTATTTTATTGATATCGATATTCTAACTGATTGCTTATCAACGCCATTGCGTTATCCAGCTGACGAGTCCCAAAAAGGATGAAACACGCGTCCTCGATTCCACTGTTACCCACTATCCATCTTTGCTTATAATTCTTGTGAATTTAGGCAATATATCGAGGAAATACGCACAATATGCACACATGGCCAATAAGAGACTGACCAGTTGCAGTCCTAACACATCAATGGAAAGATTCAAACAAACAACACTATGTGTAACTATTTATTAAATTCTCTTATGTTATCCAAACTGACAATAACGCAAAATGAATGGTGAATTATTTGATGTTTGGTATTAATGTCACTGTATCTTTTATTCAGAAGAGTACAACAGATATCATCGAACAAACTGAAAATACTTCAGTATTCACTGAAGTCCACACTAAATGACGAATTTCATGAATCTACTATGAAAACTGAATCATATTCGATAAACTTTTGATATTTTGTAATCATCCTACTGTTTTGTTTCTTTTTCAGAACATGACTTCAGAAATAATCGTATACAGTAAACCAAATGGTACACTTTATTACCTGCAAATTGTGTTGCCAATAGTCATCTTATTCTGGGTTGTATGTACCGGTTGTGTTATTTGGATATGGTTATCTCGAAGGAAGAAAAGTAATTATTAACTCTCAAAACTAGTTTTTATTATTTTGACCGAGTTGTTTCGATTTCATATTAAATCAATGAATTATAAATCATGCTACCCATCTCAATTTGTTAGACAGTACTCCTTATGGATCGTGGCTGAGCACTGCTAAGGAGTCCTATAATAGGACGATATAGCCGTCCAGTGCTTTCAGGTTTTCCATGATGGTCTAGCTTCAATTGACTCATGAATTCAACTGTTAAAAATGGAACGATTTATTATTTTCATAACTGTTAACTTATCAACTGACGTAGTTTTGTTGACAAACCATCGAAAATAGCTTCCAATATCGACGTGAACAAGCAATTTTATGTATACGTGGTTTTGTGATAATTGCAACCAAAACAGTTAGCCCATTTTGTAGGTACGTTCTGAGGATGACCCATTACTGAAAAACATTATTTTAAATCTACGACACTCATTGTTATGAACTGATCTGTCAAAATACCGTATCCATATTCAATTAGGCACTTGCATCACTCTTCAATTGATTATTCAATGATAAGTTAATGCTGGATGACAAAGTAGATTCAATTAGGTATTGTGAAGATCGATTGTGAAACACGTCTTGGAGAGTTGAGCGTATTCTCAAATAGGAATGAGGAAAAGTGTGTATTGAATAAAGTTGTAGCAGTCCGACCGTGGCATTGATAAATAATATTACAAACACACCTCAGTGTTTGCGTCAATTGATAATCACTTCACTATAAATTATTTGGTTAATAATTGCTCCTATTCTCATAGAAACATGAGATAGAATTCATTCATATTGGTTGTCTGAATCTTCCTGTTTATACATAGGACTGCAATTGAACAGTCTTTTCATCGTTTATGCTCATCCTTTAATGGTATCCTTGATATTGCCTTGAGTCATAAACAATATAAGTAGAGATTGATGTTGGCCAGTAGTCGAATTCAAGACACGTGTCACTTGGTCCAATTTGAGACTCGCCAGCTTGGTGTACCTGAATCACAGTGTTGATATTCACTCTGGTACTCGAACTCAGTATCATTCATTGCAAACAGCGTGTCATCTCACTAGTTTATTAGTCTAGATACACACTGGCTTTTATAAACAGTTTAAAAGCTGAATCTAAAGGTGAGTACTGACTTCGTATATGTTTATCTTGCGGTAAACTTCATTCTTGGAAATCATGTCACCTTCTTTATGCTGAATACTTTATTTCCGACAGAATTGGACAGTCAGTCAATTAGACATTACCGACGTTTATATAATTCACGTCTACAAATTGCAATTCATCACAGTCGGTAGATACTTGTACAGTATCAAATGTACTGACAGTTTTCACAGTATAATGATAATGCTTTCATTCGCTTCAGTGTGTACAGTGAGAAAATGTAAACACTTTTCAGTTTACAAAGTATACGATTATCAAAATACCATTGTAACTACTCAGAGTCCCAGAGTGAACATCAACTCTGAGATGCAAATACATCCAGCTGACGAGTCCCAAATAGGACGAAACGCGCGTCCGGGATTCCACTGCTGCCCACTATCCATCTTTGCCCACTGAGAGAATCGTTCTACTCTCTACTATTTACATTGTGCTCAATATTCATTGAATAAAGTACTACTCATTATCTATGAATGTTTATTTATCCAATCAGTCTGATGTGGCAATTGACAACAGATACACTGATGTGGTCACATACTTTGACACCTTCCATCATGATAGGTCGATGAAAATCTTTTCAAGTGAAACACTTATGGTGATTTGAGAAACAATGTCACTCTGTCTTACTTGTTTGATTGAATAAAGTATTCGGAAATGAATTTACCGACTAAGAACAACTTACTTTCTTGAGCTGATTTTCGAATCATCAGTTTAAGTGACTTAACAAAGTTATTCTCCACTTTGAATATGCAGAAACTTTATACAAGATATATTTCAATCATACAACTGATATTATCAAAAAAAAAAAAACTCCACAATCATCACAAATTCAGTTCAGTATGATTAACTGAATCCACTGACAGAATAGTGTGTATGTGTTTAAATGTAGACATTTACTGAAACACATTAGGTTCAATCAATTCTCACATGTTGTCGTGAAGTGTGGACTACTCAGCAGGATAGTGGATGCACACTGCTGAGAGGTCCCACAATAGGATGAAACAGCCTTCCAGTGCTTCCAAGTTTTCCATGATGGCCTAGCTTCAATGGATTCATGAGTTCAGCAATAAAATTACATCATTGTTATATTTACATTTTTTGTAATTAATCTTTACTTTGTTGGATAATTTCAAATGTAATCATCTTATTCTTTTCATAAAAGATCGTTTAATACACACAACAGCAGATGTAAAGTGTGCTTGGTGTGAAGAAACTGACAAGTACATTCAAAGCAATGATAAGAATAGTCCGGAAGTCAAGGTTATTGATCACCGTGTTGAAGTAAGTAGTTGTTAAACTTTATAGATTCTAATAACATTGCTATATTCCACATTGTAAATCAATTCACATGGAAGAACATTATTTAAGTTCCAATACGTACTGATCTGTATTCATCCCTCAGTGACTAAATCAAAGCTGTATATACGTTGACGATATCTTATCAGTTATGAGTAAAACGCCGTCCATGGGAACAACAAACAATGCATAGAAACGTTGTTTAACACAAATGCTTGGAGTCTTCTTCATTTCTCAGCTCATCGAACATGTAGTGATTTCAGAAAATCAATATTAGGATATATGGAACGTTACAAACTACTGATGAAATCAGTTTAAATGAAGAATTGTAATCTGTTGAGAATTGTGTATCATTTTCGGATAATTCATGAGAGTTTGTAGACTCTCATTGGTGAAGTGCGAAACAAAGATTTCGGTTTTCCCTGCTGAGAAATACGTATCCTTGTTGAAATGCTTCAATATAGATGTCAGCCATAAGTTTGTTAATGTATATTTAGATTGTGATTGATATCTCCCAACAAATCTGGTTGAACTCCACTGGTTACTGCTTCTCACTAGAAATCCAATAAATACCTCATGCAGTCAGTCACTAGTAAGCATATGATCATTATCAGAAGGCGGTTTTGTGAAGATTACAGTAATTTTATATATTTGAGATCAAGAGTCAATTGAAGTAGACCACCGTAGAAAGAAAACCTAGAAGCACTGGACGGCCGTTTTGTCCTATTTTGGGACTTCTCAGCAGTGCACATCCACGATCCCGCCTCGCGAGATTTTACTATTTGTTAAATTCTACTATATTACCGATACTGTTACCTATGTAAGATGGTTAGTTGATTATATGATGAATATTTATCATTGAATAATAAATGCTTTGTTTCGTTTATTCTTAAAAAACAAGGATGTTGACCATTTGAATACAGAAACACTCAGCTATCACAATCAAACTTCTTTGGAAAGCACCGAAGTTGAAATCGATGATGTTATAGACACTAATGAATGAACGGAAACTAATTTGACAAATACGTTTCATTGAATAATAATTGTTTTGCTTCGTTTTCTTTTCATAATACGACTTTACAAATGATACACAATAAAGAAAGTTCATCATTTCATTACTGAAACATTTTGATACTATCAGTTGTTGTTCACTTTGTTGTATGCATCGAATGTGTGTGTGTGGTGTTTGTATGAACCAAGCATTCTTTTGAACTTACTGACTTCTTTATTTCGAACTTTAATACAATACAATACATTCACTCATGCTCATCTAGTACTTCTTGATTAAATTCAGTAATTTCTCGGATTCCTAGCTTGTACTATAATTCAAATACCTTTCATCACTACACTGTGACATATGGCTGTAGTAATCTAAAAAAAAAAAAGAAGTGTAATGTATGATCCTTAGAAACGCCTCATAACTTGCTTTCATTATTCATAGTTGCTCTATTTTGTAACTGATGGTAAAAAGACTTTATATTTTGTTGTACATTTGAATACTATTGAACAATGTACCATTTTCTATGGTCATTTTTGTAATTTTCTATATAAAATATGAAACATTTCGGAATAAGTAGTGTTTTGTATACGTTATTTACTTACACTTGTCATCCGTAGTGGAGGAGCATAGACCGCATACCAGCATTCTTCATTCCACAGTGTCCTCAGTAATTTTTTCCAGTTCTTTCCAGTTGGTATTCATCCTTTTCATATTTGCTTTTATTCCCTTAATGTGTTCTTTGGCCTTCCTCTTTTCCGCTTTCCTTCCAGATTTCAAGTTAGGGCTTGTCTCGTTATGCGGTTTGTTGATTTTCTTTATGTATGTCCTATCCACCTATAACGTCTTTCCCTAATTTTCTGTTCAAATGGAAGCTGGTTTATCCTCTCCCACAAAAGGCTGTTGCTGATGGTATCTGGACAGTGAATGTTGAATATTTTTTGCAGACAACTGTTTATAAATATTTATACCTTCTTGATAATGGCTGTAGTAGTTCTCCACGATTCAGCTCCGTACAGTAGGACTGTCTTTACCTTCATATTGAAGATTGTGACTTTGATATTGTTTGACAGTTGTTTTTAGTTCCATTTGTTCTTCAATCGTAGGAATGCTATCCCTGCTTTGCCAATCCTCACTTTTTACATCTGCATCCGATCCTCCTTGTTCATTAATGATGCTTCTCAAGTATGTGAATGTTTTCACATCTTCCAAAATTGATTTCACATTATCACCTAAAGTGAAATTATTATTTTTGTTCGTGCTGACATTAAATTTATGAGAATAACGCAATCATATCAGTCACTGAACAAATTATAATTTTATGGACACTACACGTTATGACAACTCCGCCTGTAGCTCTTCAAGAGTTACTGCCGGTCCCAAGCCCGGGTAAAGGAGGAGGGTTGGGTATAGGGTTAGCGACCCCATCCCGTAGAAAAGCTAACTAGCTAAAAAAACGCTAACCAGAAATGCTGGTGAGCGGCCTATGCTACTCGACGAGGGTTAACAGGCGTAAGTAGTAGTAGTAAGTACACGTTATGACATCCAAAACTCACTGGACTAATTTTTATTATTCAATAACGTAAAAATTTTCCTGCTTTAATTGAGTTCGTCTCAATTCTATGTCAGTTATTGCCTAATATTACACTCATCCACTTAGTCAGGGGTCACTATTTTAAAATGTTATCATACAACACATTTTTCATTTTTAATATTGCCTCCTATTATGTTTGTGGATGCCCGTAATTTTAATAAGCCTTACGATAGGATTAATCATCTTGATTTTGTTCTAGATCATTTTTCATATCAAGCGCTTAATTATCATCATTCATTTTTGAGGATATATCAATATCTCATGTTATGAATTTCTGACGTCTTTAATATCTGCTCGTACATTGAACAACCTGCAACCTTCTAATTTAATTGGTGTTCTAGTGAACCACACATGCTCACGAATTCTTAGTTCAAGCAGTCGAGCAAACCTCCTGCACTCTGATAACGGCACGTTGGCAACTTAACAAACGCTAGCGACGGTTAGCAACTCTATCATAGACATAAGTTTGGAGTCATACTTCCGATAGTAGGAACTTATGTTCCCGATACAACTTACGTAAAACACATACCACATACCATACTCGATTGAAGTACCGATCACTGCAAAAGTCGTCGCATTTTTAGTTTATTAGTATAATGTCGTAAGTAGAGAAATCTTAAGCTTGTATATAGGTTTCGAGTCGCGATTGACTATGATCACCACTACATGAAGATTTCCTGCCAGGTATGGACGTGGATCCCCCGGTAGGCCAAAACTCAGAAGGCTGTTAATGGTTGCAATAAGATATATTTGTTGGCTATCTTGGGGTATCGAAAGAACACCCGAGACATGCCAAAGTTTACGGGCGGAACTGCACAGCTTAAGCAAGTTCGTGCAAGGTCACAGGCAACGGAATGAAACGTTTTTTGGTACAGTTAAACGAACAAAAACAGTAAAATGATCACTAGTACAATAACTTATAATAATAATAATTTCCATCATACCAATAGCGTTCTCGTTACAAAAGTAGGTCACTACAAGCTAAACAGCCAACGACATAAGTTTTTTACACACTTTACTAGCAGCAGTCATTTATCTTATCCAGACATTCCTTTTGTAAACAGTTAGTAAGTGGTTTGTCAAACCCAGTATCTCTTGAAATAAAGTTATAACTTTAATTCACTTTGAGATTAATTCGTATGATAATCATTGCTAATACGACAGTTGTGTAAAACAGAGAAGTAAAGTATCGTTTATTCATGAGAAGCTGGATGTGCCCATCAACAAACTGAACTGTCTTGTTTTGTACAGATACATTCGACTTAAACAACTGTTCACTTGCGGAGTTGATTGGTTTATTGTGAGTGTTAGCGTGAGCATGTTTGTTTTTCACTTACTCAGTTCGCTTCACCTCTTACAATCTTCCCGAACTGATCAACATGATAAAGCACAAATTGTTATTCAGAGACGAAACATGTCTCTAGGATAATCTATATATATGATACCAAAAGACATAAGTCTGAATTTCGCGAGGAGTTTCAGTTTCCTAAATGATCCATGAAGACTAAGCATGATGAAATTTGACATTTAGTACAAAATCTATGTTCACAGCTTTCTACAGACTACTTCCAACCACGTTACACAAATCGTACCAATGGGACTGTATCAAACCCACATACGTTATTCTAGCCTCTGAACACACATATTTATTCATTCCTCATAAGCCATATTTTAAAATTGTTGACTAACCGCTTATCAATACTGACCATTTTTACATGATTGTATATATGTTATTTGCTGACTCTATTCATTATGTGTGCGTAACGTAATTTTGATCTGACTATAAACATTAAGTTGCAAGTGGCAAAATCGAGTTTGCTTATTCGCTATCTCCAAAAAGCGTTACACCGTTTCGTCTCACTTCATTAATCAATATTCGTTTCTCCAATTGTCTGTCTAGATCAGTGAGTGCGTGAAATGTACGTATTCAAAATTCATTATCGTGCATTGAAAGCAATCTGAAACCGGAATGTCAAGTCACACAGTTCCAAAGAAAGATATTTCTTGAATATCAAATTCAAAGGAGATAGGAGAGCTGAGATGTTAAAGAACAGACTGTGCAGTTACTGGAGAAAGCATTTTATTCTGCAGAACTCCAAACCGTTTTCTCCAGCAACAGCTTCTGACCACCTAATCATTTATCTTCTAGTTTACTTTTTCGTATGGAACAGGTTACAGTTTCCGTACAAAGCGTGTACATGTTAATTAATTATCAGGGTGCTAAACTGTTTGAATATCGAAATGGATATCATTAGACATCAACCATCAATTTTACGACAGAATAATACCTGCAAAAATATTAACCGTAAATACGATTTTACACCTTCAGCAATTGTTAATTATCAAGACGAAAAGTTTCTTCAGTGTAACGAAATCATTCGTTTTATTGACAATTAGTGAAATAGATCAGAGGGAGTTTTGTGGAGAATTTAGTATTTTCACAGTTGAAATCATGAGCCAATTGAAGCCAGATCACCATCGAAAACCTGGAAGCACTGGACGGCCATTTCGTCCTACTATGGGACTCCTCAGCAGTGCGCATCCACGAACCCGCCCTCGCGAGATTCGAACCCAGCACCTACCAGTCTTGAGCCAGAGCCCTTAACCGATAGACCTCTGAGCCGGCATCCAACGTTGTCAATGTCTAACTTCAACCAATCCACGATTTTGAGCGACCGTTCACCGTTCCCAAGTGCGGGATCGTGGATGCGCACTGCTGAGGAGTCCCATAGTAGGACGAAACGGCCGTCCAGTGCTTCCAGGTTTTCGATAGTGGTCTAGCTTCAATTGACTCATGATTGCAACATTGAAAATTAGTGATATTCAAAGAGATAGTGAAGTGTGATTTCAGCTCCATAATGACAATAGTCGATTGTTGGTTGGTTTATTTATTTGTATTTCGTCCACTATAATTTGTTAAAGCGGACACTCATTTTTCACTTCCCTACTTCATTTAAGAGCACAATGTGTTTGGCAACTAAAAATATATATATATATATATATATATAGATTTGAACGGATTTGAAGGATGAAACTTGGTGACAGAAGCATATTATTCTCGATGTAAAGTATTTGTTTGGCTTAAACACGTATATGTGCTTCCTTACGTGATCCTAAACCTGTTTAGATTAGTACCGTATCTTGACGATTTAGTCAGGATTATCTACTTGAATTCTACTGATCCAATATGCGTTTTATCAAAAGTAGTATTGTAGTGAACAGAACACGACTGAGGACAATCGAATGTATTTAAGCAGAAATTACAGACTATCTCAGTAAATTCTGAAAACCATACAATGAACAGTCAATTTGCAAATTAACAACCATTTGTCTCAATCTTCATTGTTTCTTCTCTAATTCCATTGTTCGTGCACTTTCTTACCGATTGTGCTTCGTTTCAGTTCCTCCATCATCGGTCTTCTGTGAAAATACATTCAATGTCTGACCAACACCATATACTACTTATATGGATATAAGTAGACCATACCACAATATTCTTTCTATAAAGATTAATAATAATAATGGTATAGATTATCTGAAAGTGTAATTTACAAATATCTTTCTGATGAATTTAGTTGTTTGTATACATTCAATGAATACCCTTTTTTGTTCTCTATCACTTGATCCTTTCTAATCTAATCAATCTCTACTATGTAATGAGTGTAATATGAATATGAATTAGAATAAAGAATGTCACTTTCTAATGATATGGTTATGTTACTGACCGTCACCTACTCACACAGACTAGAGATCAATGAAATTCTCATATTGAAAAATATTACTGCTTTTCTGAAAAGCAACTAAAGTGAAAACACATACTTTGATAGTAAATTGATAGCAAGTCTTGCTTCAACTATGAATAAACACTGTGAGATAAGACGTTTTGAATAATGTAGTTCACATACTTTATTGACTATAATTTGGTGTTAAATGAATGTTCTGTTTTCATCTTGAATTCCATTATCAGATGATTCAGGTTACT